CTGCCCAGGCGGGTCTCGAACCCGCGGGCTCAGGCAATCCACTCACCTCAGCCTCCCAAAGGTGCAGGATTACAGGCTGAGCCACCGAGCCCGGCTCAAGTTGATTCTTTAAAAATTAACATGTGTACCCTCTGAATCCAAAATACACATTAAAAAAACAAAATAAATAAAAATTAAAATGTTTTACATGACCAAAAAAAGCACCAAGAATATTCTAGAGACAAGCAACACAGAACAGAGGATGATAGATGACATTTCTGACAACACAAAGGTCAGCAGTCAGTGCTGCAGAGGCTACTGGCTACATGTGACTTTTAAGCCCTTAAAATGTGGCTGGTTCAAACTGAAGTGTGCAGTACGTATAAAATGAATATTGACTTTCCAAGCCTTAGTACAATAAAAGGGTAAAACATCTCATTAATAATGTTCTTATACTAATTACATGTTGAAATGATAATCTGCAAATATACTGAGTTGAATAAAATGTTATAATTTCATTTGCTTCTTTTACTTTCTTTTTGTTTTGTTTTGTTTGTTTGTTTGAGTTGGAGTCTCACTCTGTCGCCCAGACTGGAGTGCAGTGGCCGCTCCCGGCCACCGCAGCCTCGACCTGCTGGGCTCCGCCGATCCTTCCGCATCAGCCTTCCGAGTAGCTGGAATTACAGGCGCGCACTACCACGCCCGGCTGATTTTTTGATTTATTGTAGAGATGAGGTCTCACCTGCCCAGACGGGTCTCGAACCCGCGGGCTCAGGCCATCCACTCACCTCAGCCTCCCAAAGGCGCGGGATTATAGGCTGAGCCACCGAGCGCGGCTTCTTTTACTTTCTTAATGTAGCTCCCAGAAAACTTAAAATTACAGATGGGGTTCACCTTGTATTTCTATTAGACAATGCTGCCCCAAATGACATAAGAGGCCCTAAAAATCAACATGAAAAAGATCAATAGAAAAATGGACAAATGATATGTGTATATATAATTTACAAATGATATGCATATATAATTTACAGTTCTTCTACAAATGGAAGAAAAATAACTAAAGAGATAACCTTACTAGCAAAAAAAAAAAAGTTAGCAAATTAAAATCGCCTGTTTGTCACCAGTCTGATGGGCAAAAAGGAAGACCCATGCACTCCAAAAAACAATGGTACAAGGGTGTGGCTGTTCTCATACACTTATAGTGGCTTAATCTGTTTCATTTTTGGAAGACAATTCGGCAGAACTTGTAATTTTCTCAACAAAAGTATGTGTACAAGAATGCAAAGACCCGCTCGATGTAACAAGGTCTTGTCGTTTGCAAACGTTGCAAATCACCCAAATGTCCAACAGCAGTGAATTACACCAACTATGGTCTGTTCGCACAATGGAATACTATGCAACCACGAAAAAGAGAAGCAGTCACGCAAATGACAGCACGAAAAGGTAGTCAATATACACCACTTAGCAAATCTGGCCCCAAAACCAGAATGCATAGGGAGAATAATCCCATTTCTGTATAAATATAGGAAAGTCTGAATACAATTACTCCTCTAGCTATTGATACACACCTGAAAGGTTGTGTAACCAGCCACTTTTTAGGTTTTCTTCTGGGCAAGAGAAATGAGGAATAACGGAGAAAAGTCCCTTTTAAACTCCATATATTTTGAACTGAAAAATATTTTATGCTGGTCACGAATAAATTCTCACATTAAAAAAGAACATGTCCTCTAATTAAAAATTAACGAGATGGTTAACTGATACTAAGATTTCACTTTTTGGAGAAATAGTCAAAAAAAGGACACTAGTCAGCTTGACTAATTTCCCTGGCATTTCTCAAGCCATTGATGAAACACAAACAGAAACAGGAATAGCTGAGGGGGAAAGTAAATAATAACCCAAGGGCTATTGAGCATCCGCTGTGGCCTCGGAGACCAGCGTTCATTTGAAGGTGTCCATCACACCGAAACGTCAGCCGACGGAGAAGCCACATGGGCAGTGGGAGAGGGACACAAACCTTGCTCCCCATCTCATCATCCAGCCTTTGCAGCTCCATCTCCCGCTGATCCTGCTGAAGCTTCAGAAAACGCCATCGCGCAGAGTCTTGTAAGGGTGTCTCTGTCATTCTCAGCTCTCTTTTCACATCAGCTAGTCTTGAGCACAAAACACATCGAGCGGAACACATGAAGCATGCCCAGTGTGGTGTAATGTCTTCACAACTGCTCCCTGCTACCCACCGTGCCACACTCTCCCAGTCTAACTGGTACCACTGGAACATAACTGTGCTTATGACACACACATGAACGAGGCCCATTCGCACAAGAAGGCCGCGTGTGAGATGACGTATGCCACATACAACTGGCTATCACTTCCACCCAAACTTCTATCAGGTCCACCACTCAGACTATTTCAGTACAATTGACACTCTGCAACTAAACGAAGAAAGCCGAAACAGGCTCCTTGCTCCCAAAGGTGACGTGTACTTATTCTTTGAGAATTCACTTTAGAAGGCAGTTTCTTTTAACCCACACTAGAAATCTTTCAAAAAGTTCTGCCCAAGAATAAGAATCAATAAATTCTTACAGAAAAATGAGCTTCCCAACGATTATGCTTAGGTCTCAATGCCTATCCCATAACTTTAATTCAAACATTTTGCCTTATTAACATGTGTTCGTTCGTTTATTTATTTATAAATTCTATGGGGAATCTCACTATGCTAGATCTCACTATGTTGCCCAGGCTATAACCTTGAACTCCTGGGCTCAAGTGACCCCCCTGAGTAGCTGGGACTACAGTTACATGCCACCACACCCAGCTAACACACTTTTGAATAAGCACTTAATACTTCTTCCTCAGCTCTCTTAAGTATTAAATGTATAATACAACAATCATTTTGTTACAGTTGTTAGGTCACACGTGTTTAAAACATAATTTTAAAAATCATAAACTACTACAGCTGATTACTCAGCACTCTATTACAAAGTATTTCAGCCCACTATACGATAATGTTTCTAAATTACGTCCTTCAAGGCAGGGGTCCCCAACCTTGGAACCAGGCCGCACGGCGGGACGGGAGGGGCGGGCCAGCAGGCCAAGTTCCAACTACATTTACAGCCACTCCCCATTGCTCACGTTACCGCCTAAGCTCTGCCTTCTGTCAGATCAGCGGGAGCATCAGATGCTCTAGGAGCGCCAACCTTACTGTGAAGTGCGCGTGCGAGGGATCTAGGGTGTGCACTCCTTATGAGAACCTGATGCCTGGTGATCTGAGGAGGAGCTGAAGTGGGGATGTCAGCGCTGGGGAGTGGCTGCAACTACAGATGAACGTGAGCAGGGAGGTTTGAATGCACAGAGAACATCACAAAAACAGCTACTGCAGAGTCCTATCAAAACCCCCCCCTTTTTTTGAGTTGGAGTCTCACTCTGTCACCCAGACTGGAGTGCAGTGCCACTCCTGGCCACCGCAGCCTCGACCTGCTGGGCTCCAGTGATCCTTCCGCCTCAGCCTTTCAAGTAGCCAGAACTACAGGCGCGCTACCACGCCCAGCTAATTTTTTTGATTTATTGTAGAGATGAGGTCTCACCAAGTTACCCAGGCGGGTCTCGACCCGTGGGCTCAGGCAATTCACTCACCTCGGCCTCCCAAAGCGCAGGATTACAGGCTGAGCCACCGAGCCCGGCCGATCAAAAGCCTTTCAGGAACTGGTGGGTGAGTTGGTATGCACCAGATGCAGCTTCAGTTGTACAGCTGCATCTGGTGGTAGGCCCTAAGTCTACCTATTATTTTATTTTTCACTTCCATCTGTGCCTCTTTTTTCAATGGCGAGTTGTAGAATTATTTCACTATGTATTACAGTGTAATAATAATAGAAATAAAGTACACAATAAACGTCACGTGATTGAATCATCCTGAACCATCCCTATCCTCTCCCTCTGGTCCATGGAAAAGCTGTCTTCCACGAAAATGGTCCCTGATGCCAAAAAGGCTGGAGACCGCTGCTTTTAGGTATTTTTGTTTGTGTGTTTTTTGAGCTGGGTCCTGCTCTGTCACCCAGGCTGGAATGCAGGAGCACAGTCATGGCTCACCACAGCCTGACTTCCTGGACTCAGATGACTTTTCTGCCTCGGTCTCCTGAGAAGCTGGGACCACTGGCATATGCCACCAAGCCCTGCTAACTTTTCCATTTTTTGTAGAGATAAGGTCTCGCTGTGTTGCCACAGCTGGTCTTGACCTCCTGTGCTCAAGCAATTCTCCTGCCTCGACTTCCCAAAGTAGTGGGATTACAGGCGTGAGCCACAGCGCCTGGCTAGAGGGTCTTTTTATTGACTTAAATAAGGGCTTAATGGAAATACGACGGCTGGGAAATTCTACACACAGCGCTGCCCCTCGAGTGAAAGCAATGACAGGAAATCACGACGCTACGAGCTGCCGTGTCCAGGCCTGGGGATGAGGGGAGACGTGCCTCTGCCTCTGCTGCGCCATTTTCCCCGCCTCCTGCAGGAGAACCTCTCGCCTCGCCTCCTCGGCTCTCCGCAGCAGCTCCTGCCTCTGGCACCAGGCTTCGTCTTCAGCCCTCTGCTGGTCCACTTCGGCCTGCAAGTCTTCAACCGTCTGCCTTAAGTAGAGAATCGTTACCACTTTGAAAATGCAAATAAGAAAGCCGAGTAACTTAGTTCCAGGAATGACCAAAACACACAATGTACAATTAAGTTTATTTCCATAGGCAAGAATTAACGACCTTTTTTTTTTTTGAGTTGAAGTCTCACTCCTTTGCCCAGGCTCAAGTGTAATGGCATGCTCACGGCCACCCCAATGTCGACCTGCTGGGTCCCGGCGATCCTTACACCTCAGCCTTCCAAGTAGCTGGAACTATAGGCATGCGCTATCATGCCCAGCTAATTTTTGGTTGTATTGTAGAGATGAGGTCTCACCAAGTTGCCCAGGCGGGTCTGGAACCCATGGGCTCAGGCAATCCACTCACCTCAGCCTCCCAAAATGCTGGGATTACAGGCTGAGCCATTGTGCCCGGCCGAATTAACTATCTTTAAAGATACTTCCAGCCTTCAAACTCTGGTTTTACACAGATACTTCATAACGTACATGTATTTTCATTAATGTTTATAACAGATTTCATTTCTATCAAAAAAACTGTTCCATAATTACCTCTCCCTTAAGTAATCCAGCTCATCATTTCTTATTCTTTCGCGTTCCTGTGTCTGATAGTCCACAATAAACTTTGGATATTGATTAAACACTGGATATTGTCCTTTCGTCAGTGCAACAAAAGCATCAAGCATGCTGCCTGGATGAATGTTAGTGGGCGTGGTCTCCATGAGACGATAAACTTCTCTAATCACAACATTTATATCCAGGTTATTCCGGTGGTGAAAGAAATACTGTAAGAAAACTTGGTGCTTAAGCCGAGATTTACCTAACAGAGCAGTTATTAGGTAGAATTAAAACAAGAATTTAAAAACATAAATGTGAATTTATCTTTAAAAATATATTTTTTCTACAAATTCATGGAGGCATTCTCTTAACCCAAGTTTTAAAAATGAAGACACATTTCCTATTTTCACAATGTAATACAATTTCACAATCACATAAAATTCTGAAATAAAACTTTACACTTTAGCTCAAAATGAAGGCTTCCATTACAATAGAAAAATAATGTTTCAACAATGAAGCAATCTCATTCTACGTGGATCTTTTTTCCCTTTGAAATCTAACATAAATAAATTATAAAATAAATTTGCCTTTGAAAATAAATTAGCTTGACTCTTTAAAATACTGAAATGTTTCCATATTATCTTGTTCGGCTAGCAGATCCAAATTCTAAAATGTAAACGACTAACTACCTGTGACCTAAAGTAAGAATAAAACTTAATTTGAGAGGAATCACCAAGTAAGTCACACATAACAAAACCCAGCTAACGCTTCCTGTTTACCAAAAAAGCATCTCCTTTTGAGAAGCACCTCTAAAGCTTTCTTCCAGTCGCTTTCCAAAAGGCTTCCAGTTACCATCTGTACCTGTAATAAACACCCAGACTGTCTCAGACAAGGTGGGTCATGGATAAGATCATGTACAGAATAAACAACCTCTCAACTGTTTTTTGTTTGTTTGTTTGAGCCAGAGTCTCACTCTGTCGCCAGGCTGGAGTGCAATGGAACGCTCATGGCCACTGCAGCCTCAAGCTGCTGGGGTCAGGCGATCCTTCCACCTCAGCCTTCCACATAGCTGGAACCACAGGTACACGTCACCACGCCCAGCTAATTTTTTTGGTTTATTGTAGAGATGAGGTCTTGCCAAGTTGCCCAGGCTGGTCTCAAACCCATGGGCTCAGGCAATCCTCTCGCTTCTGCCTCCCAAAGTGCTGGGATGACAGGCGCGAGCCACTGCATCCAGCTCAATTGTTAAAACGTCCTTTGAAAAGGCAAAAAGCACAGAACTCCAATATGACTTGATTCTTTTCAGAAGCTCTGACTGTAAGTCAACTCGCTGCTCGAACTGCCTGTCTAATTGTCTACACACTAGACAGGGGCAGGAGTGGCCCACCTGGTTAACCACTGTGTTCCTACCACCTAGCCCACTGCCTGACACACAGAAGGCATTCAATATGCAAACAGAGTTTCAACTGAAATATCTGGAATGTGCGACCCTCCCCTTAGGAATGAGATCTTTACCTCAAAATCATCCTTGAGTCTGCAGCTGAGCAGAGGCACCCTGGAGCAGGTGCTATAGGCTACAACAGTCATCAGGAGGAAGGCGGGATGGTTGGAAAAGACATTATCGAACAGCTTCAGCCACTCCTCCCGTGTCAGCACTTCTGAGAACACCGTCTCAAGGAGCGGCCAGGCATACAGCTAAAATACACAGGGAAAGCTTGGTGGATTTCTAGGGAAAAGTCAAAACAGAGCCATTGGTAATATTCTTACATATGATTTAGGCTATGAAATCATTACACTAAATACATAATTATGAAAAGAACTACCTTAATTTGGACCCTTCTTTACAGACTTTCAGGAAGGCAGTTTAACAAAGAGAAAGAATGAAAGACTGTTAAAAATACAAAATGTAAGATGCTCTTTACATACTCCAAGAAAATATTGAAGGAGATTGTACTTATGGTTGTATTTATGTCAGAACCAAGGTCAGCTTCCAAAATAAGTTATGTTACTCTAAAAACCTTACACTCCTTACCTGGGAAGTTATATCATGATCTATGAAGTGCTGTAGCAGTTCCTTGTCATGAAATGCCAAAACGTTTTCTATCATGCTAAGAATATTGATGGGAGGATTAGGAAAATATTCAAACCAGTGTTGACACCAATTGACTATGAAGGAAAAAAAAAATTGATCTTTAAATATCTTTCTATATTATCAAAGGATTTTGTCATTTTAAAATATATTCACTCTTTATGTCTTTAATATGTCCATGAATAAATAAGAGAAAACATATTGTTCTAGAACAATAGATTTTGAAATTCCATCATATTAACATAGTATCCCTAGGTTCACAGAAACTGCAGATTTCTTCAGAGTAATCAATGAAAAGACACCCATTAAAACAAACACAGCTTCCCAAAGCATTCCTGGTTAAGGGGTGTCTGGCTCCTGCTGGCTCCTGTTCTGTTTCTCTCTTGATTAACAAAATCTTTTTTTAAAAGGTCCTTTTTTTAAAAGGTCCTCAGGTTGGGCTCTGTAGTTCACGCCAGCAATTTCGGCAGTTTGAGAAACCAAAGCAGGAGGACTGCCTGAGCCCAGGGGTTTGAGAGCAGCCTGGGCAACAAGGCAAAACCCTGTCTCTACAGTAAATTAAAAAAATAAGCCAGGTGTGGTGGCGCACACTAGTAGTCCCATCTACTCAGGAGGCTCAGACGGAAAGACAGCCTGAGTCCAAGAAGTCAAGTGAGCCATGACTGTGCCACTGCACTGCAGCCTGGGTGACAGTGAAATCCTGACTCAAAAACCAAAACCAAAAACAAAAAAGGCTTCCATTTAAGTCTTTATTAAATGTAATCAATGTTAACATGCCAATCTCTTCATACCTACTAAAATTCATATGGGCTGGGCTTGGTAGCTCAGCCTGTAATCCCAGTACTTTGGGAGGCTGAGGTGAGTGGACTGCCTGAGCCTACAGGTTTGAGACCAGCCCGGGCAACTAGGCGAGACCTCCTCTCTACAATAAAAGAAAAAATAGCTGGGCATGGTAGTGTGCGCCTGTGGCTCCAGCTACTCGGAAGGCAGAGGCGGAAGAATAGTCAGAGCCCAGCAAGTCGATGCTGGGGTGGCTGTGAGCATGCCACTGCACTTCCAGCCTGGGTGACAGAGTGCAACTCCAACTCAAAAAAAAAAAAAAGGGAGAAACGCTAAAATTTATCTTAGCAAAATCCCAAGGAAAACTGATCTTGGACAATGACTGTCAACTTATTTTACAATAGTTAATTACAAGTCTGAGTTCTTGCAAGAGGATGCCATTTTAAACTAATCTGCCCTCCCATTTCCATAATATACACATTCTTACTTCACTGAGGCAAACAAGTTAGAACATGATTCTATCAAAGCTGTGTGGTGTGGTTAAACAAGGAACTTGTCAACCATATGCATCCACTGCTTTTTCTTTGTGGAAAGTCATCTATTCTAATCACTGAACTATGCAATGAAAGGCTACATTTACAAGCCTGGAAAACTTAGGGCTCAGTACACAGAAGCTTCATTTACAAAAGAGCGGGAATGTTATAATTACCACGGAAGAGTACAATGTTTAACGTATCATAAACATTACCTGCAAGTACTTCATAATCACAAAAACAGCACTTCAAAAAGGTACATATTCTTTTTCACTAAAATTAATTAGGCAATTTGAGAATAAGAGACACTATTTTTTTCTCTCTCTCTTGCTCTCTCTTCTTTTAAAATTTTTAAATGTTGAGGTACAGATATACTTAAGTTGCAGTAATAACAAAAAGGTGTTTTCTTTATTGAAGTACATAAAATGCCTTGGCAGATAACAGTATCTACTTAAAATTTTATGTTCATCTCCCATTCTCCTCACCATAAAGCTTATATTTAATTATGCATTCATTTGTATTATTTGCATGCGAAAACACCAACTACTCTATCATGTCAACATTAAGCCAAGATGTCTTTTGAAGCCAAGATGATTCTGTTAGTTTATGAAAGCAACAGAGATTCAGGATGCTTAAGGCAGAATCCTTAAAGATTATGCTGGCTGCTTTGCTTGGGCTTCTGTTTCCCTTGAACCAGGTGGGGCTGTCAAGTCTAAAAAGGCATATGCTGCATTATCTTCTCTGGCTTCAAAGAAGGCATCACAGTTCCCACAGTGCTGGCTTTCATTGAACATGTGAGGTGGCCAGGGATACCCTGTGGCTGGTCGACTATTTTCAGGTATGTTTCCTCTCATCCACTTCTGATTCTCTTCATTGGCTGCAACATCTTTTCCTTCAAATCCTATTTTGTTGGCTTCTAAGAAACCAAGCACATCTTGCTGTCTCTTCGTGATCGCTGTAGAGTCAAGGGAGGATGCAATATATGCAAGGATCACCATGCCGGGAACAGCAGCTGCGGTTGTTTTGGGCCTGGAAAAGGCTGCGCGATGGCTGGAATTCCCTGTGTCAACTTATAACTCCCAGATCGCACCAGGCAAGGCTAGTACCTGGTCCACAGTACCAGGTTACTGAAAATACCACCAGAACAGGGCTATCTAAAGATACACGCAGCAGTGTGTGCTAACTCTAAAAAAAAGACACCATGTAGTCAAAAATCTCACACAGCCTTGCACTTCCATTCTTTCCTTTAAAAGGAGCTGTGAGGAAGGGTGTGAGATGCAAGAGAAAACCAGCTAGAACCAACTCACTCATCCTCATCCTCTCCCCCGCCCTCCATTCTCGCAGTCTGCCGCTGTTTTGTGCTCCAGGCTCTACTTAAGCCCGCAGGCGACTTCCCTTCCGAGGCCTTCATCCAGCCTCGTGCCTTCTCTCTGGACAGCTGCTGGCAGCTCTGCGGCAGTGTCACTCCACCCCCTCCCAGTTTCCCTGCGACGCCACCAAGGGACAGGCCAGACGTTCTCCTCTGACTTGGAGCAGAACAGGAAAAAGGTCAAGGGAGGCCTGGTGGGCTTCTGGGCTTTCCTTTGGGAGGGAGGGAGGGGTTGACGCCTCTTTCACAGCGGGCATTTCTGCCTTTGCCCCTCTTCGACCTCTGCGTTCTCTCCAGCGGATCTGGCCTTCCGCCTCTCTGAGCATTTCTTAGGAAGCCCAGAAGGTGACTGGAGAGTCTGGGCGATGCTCCTTGGGCTCTTCTCTCAAGTTCGCACAAAGAGCACATGTGATGACAGTTCGCCTCCGGGCTTCTCAGGGCCACCCTGGACTGTGTTTAGTTCCTTTTCTGTAGGAGACACCGGTGCTTTGTTGCTGTCACCTGTGGGTGGAGCTCCAAGTCCTGCAGCAGCCGTAGGAACGGCCCGGCTTGCTCTGCTCTGTCATGTCACTCCTGACAACTGCTTATTGAGTAAGCCAACTCGAGACTCCTGATACAAATCCGCAGCTATTCATGCTGACCATCACAGAGGAAACAATCGTCTCCCAGATGTAAGTTTCAGGCATGTTTGTTCAGAAAAGAAAATCAGCTTCCTCAGTATATAATCATATTTTAGCTATACAACAAGATTTTACTAGGAAAAAAACTTAATTCTGTATGCCTATCTAAACTAGCTATACTTGGTTTCTGTATTATAGTAAAATGGTAAAACATGTAACTTGCCCTTTTAACCATTTTTAAGTGTATAATTCAGAGGCATTAATGACATCCACAGAGGCCAGGCATGGTGGCTCCGCCTGTAATCCCAACACTTTGGGAGGCAGAGGCGAGAGGACTGCCTAGCTCAGGGGTTCAAGACTAGCCTGAGCAACATGGCAAGACCTCATCTTTGCAATAAATCAAAAAGTCAGCCGAGCATGGTGGAGTGTGCCTGTGGTTCCAGCTACTTGGAAGGCTGAAGTGGAAGGATCACCTGAGACCAGCAGGTTGAGGCTGCGGTAGCCTTAAGCATGCCACTGCACTCCAGTCTGGGTGACAGAATGAGAATCCAAATAAAAAATAAAAATAAAGCCAGATGCGGTGGCTCACACCTGTCATGCCAGTATTTTGGGAGGCACAGGTGAGAGGATTGCCTGAGTCCAGGGGTTCGAGACTTCATCTCTACATAAATCAAAAAATTAGCCAAGGGCTATGGCGCACGCCTCTGGTTTCAGCTACTTGGAAGGCTGAGGTAGAAGGATCATCTGAGCCCAGCAGGTTGAGGCTGTGCTGGACTGGGGGACAGAGTGAGACTCCGACTCAAAAAAAATAAAAACATCCACAGTGTCAGCCAAAATTCCTTTAACCCCCCCAAACAGAAAACCATGCTACCGGCACGCAGCCCCTCGTCCCCTTTCCCACTTCCCCAGCCCTGCGAGTTCTGATCTACTTAGCCCTGGGTCTAGGAGTTTGCCCGCTTGAGATATTTCACATGAGTGGAGAGTTTCTGTCCCTTTGGGTCTGGCTCGCTTCACTAAGCCTAATGTTTCCAGGGTTCACCCATGTTGCAGCTAGCACGCATCAGAACTTCATTGCTCCCGAGGACTGAATAGTATTTCGTTGTAGTACACGCCACACCTTGTTGATCCGTCGCCAGTTAATGGACACCCAGACCGGGTCCACCTGTTGGCTGTCGGGAATGGCAGCACTGCGGACGTTCACACACAAGTACCAAGTACCCGCCTGCGCCTGCTTCCAAGTCTTTGGGTCTAGGCCCAGGAGCGAGGCGGCTGAGCTGTATGGCAGTTTGCCCCGCTGTTCGAGGACAGGCCAAACTGCTTGCCACGTCGGCAGGCCCGTGGGACATTCCCGCCAGACAAGCATGAAGCTTGCAATTCTCCCACATGCTCACCAACGCTGACTGTTATTTTTTACTGACCGCTATCCCAGTTGGTGTGCAATGGTATCTCACTGTGCTTCTGAATTGCATTTCCCTAATAACTAACAGTGCTGAACATCTGGCCATGTGCTTTTAGTCATTTGTATATCTCCTACGGGGAAATGTCTACCTGAGTCCTTTGCTCATTTTTAAATTGGATTGTTTGTCTTTTTGTTACTGTGTTTCTGTTCCTTTTAAAACACTTAATGCTACTGGCAGGGTAAACTAGTACCACCCTTTTAAATCAATTATTCATGCTTTATTACCTAATAAGAGCAATTCTGGGAATCTACTCAGAAGAAGTTATTATAAATATTTATATGCAAAAACGGTGATAACATTGTTAGTTTCAATAATATAGGCCAGGGCCAAGCGCGTGACTCACACCTGTAATCCCCATACTTTGGGAGGCTGAGGTGGGAGGATCACTTGAGGCCAGGAGTTTGAGACCAGCCTGGGCAACACAGGGAGCCCTCAACCCCATCTCTACGAAGAATAAAAAAATCAGCCGGGCATAGTGGCGTGTGCCTGTAGTCCCAGCTCCTCAGGAGACTGAGGTGGAAGGACTGCCTGAGCTCAGGAGGTCAAGGCTGCAGTGAGCCATGATTATGTCACTGTATTCCAGTCTAAGAGACAGCGTGAGACCCTGTCTCAAAAAAAAAAGTGCGAAGCAAACATAAAATTTCATGCCACCTAACCAACAGACTGAAACCTCTGGGCAGAGGGAAACCTGAAAAACTACATTCCAGGTCAGGATAGCAAAGGAAGTTGGACAAGCCTTATTATACCCACTCCTTTGGGGAGTTTTAGGCACAACTGACCGCCATCAACATTAAAACAGAGATTGTAAGACTGACCACACAGACTCTGTGGCAGCAAGATACTGAATTCCAGCCTGACTCTGGAGCAGTGTCCCATGAGAGCAGGCCCTGAAAGAGATCAGGACACTGTGCCCCGAAGCATGCCTGACATATCTGGAAGTGGCCCTGCAAAGTCGGCTGGGGTAAATGTGTACCTGTCGAGAACACCTCCCAGGACTACGCCGAGGTGCTCCAAGGCCCACGAGCCAGGGGCCACATCTGCACAATCCCCAAGGCCCGCCACTTGGAGGCCTCATGTACACGCCAGAGCCTGGCCTTCCAGCACCCTCACATCCTAGCGCATGCATTTCTTTACTGATTTCAGATTCTTTAGACACAGCCCAGGTCTTTCTACCGACGGCCAGTCGGAATCTCCGAATCTACCGGTAAGCCCCTGCCTGGCGACACCCTGCCTTTCCAGGTCCAGCCAGTGTCAACTTTACGTGCACTGGTTTACATTTAGCTGCAGTTCAAGCACCATGGTCATGTGTCCTCAGGTCCACCTGAGGTGGGCCATGTGCCTAGGTCACTCACATTTGCTTAGAATAAACCTCTGCAAACATATTTTGGCAGATTTTGGGTTTTTTCTGTCATCAATAGGTAAAATTAGAAATAATCTAAATATCCAACAATAGAAGATTAAATTAGTACATGCACATTATGGGATGTTATGGTCAATAAGAATGTTTATGAAATTTATAAAAATAAAGAATATGTGTACACCATTACATAAAAGTAGTATAATAACAAAAAAGACTGGAAAACCTAGAAAAATAGAAATCTTGCAGTTGGAAAGAGATAAACTGTGGCATAACTATATATTATGCAGGCAATAAATTATCTTTCAAGAATATTTAATGATCTGGGAAGAAATGTTCTTATAAGAAATTCATCAATATGCTATCAAAGATTATCTACGGGAAAGAGAAACACTAGTTAATTTTTCTTTTGTATATTTTTCAGATTTTTCCAGTGATCAGCCCAAAACTGTCAAAACAAGAACAATGTAATAAAACAAAAAAATGCAGAGAGAAATACACTAAAACATTTATAATATATATGCCTGAAACTTTAAAAAATTTCGACTTTTCAGAATTTTAGGTCATTGAAATTAAATGATGTCCATCTCCTTTGTATAAGAAAAACACATTAAGTGATTTAAATATATACAAATAAAATAGAATATTTCTGTTGAACTAAGCTATGATGTGGGTTCAGCCTAACAGATCTCATTTTACTAACATGACTTGCTTTTCAGGGTAAGTGACGGAGGGAGAGAGCACCCCAGCGGAGTTGGTGGGCCTGGCTCCAAACGCCTGCTTTGCCCAGAGCACATGCTCTCCGTGCCTCAGGCTTCCTATCTGTGACAGGGAACACCGACACCCACCACACGAGAGGGCTGTGAGGATGCGATGAGCTAACCATGGTGGAATGTCTGAGAATGGTGCCTGGCACACAGAAAGTGCTCAACAGATGCTAGCCACAGATGGTGAGAAGGTGGACAGTGGCCAGCACATGGGCACGCAGCGACAGGCCCCGTGTGCTGGGTGCTTCACACACTCACAGCACCCCCCTGAGGAACAACCGACTTTCAGTGTGAGAAAGGTCCGCTTCATTCTTACTAACAAAGTCCAGCATATGACAAGCGCTTCCAGAACTTAATGACTACATTTTCTTCTAAATAAAAAGGTTTACATGCAAATGCTTCAATTGTCCATTTTATGTTCTGTACCTGACTGTTTTACACTTTCTTGACTTAAAAGTAGAGAAATCTACTAACAAGTGTTGCAAAGGTACAAAGGCACCAGGAAAATGCAAACAACTCCATTCTTGGCTCCATACTTCATTAACCACTTACTTACTTATGAGAGTAGCAACAACTTCAAAGCAGATGAGCTGGTTGTTCTGGAACAATTTTACAAACGGAAATGCCAAGAGTGGAAGATACGGTGTGTCGCTGAAGATGGCCGACCAGTGGGCTAGGGCAGACAAGGTTCTGCGGATACGAAGCGGGAGAAGGGAAGAGAAAACAACAATAACACTATTGCCGTTTATCTGAGGAGAGACACAGTCACGTGATGCAGACCCAACACAAAAGGCGCATTTGGGGAAAAGCCCCCTCTAACCCCATCATCATCTACTTCGCCTCTCCAGAAGTAACCACTGTGAAATGTGTCAGAATAAAACAAAAATGGTGGTACATTACCAATACTGCTGTGTATTTGTAGCTTTCTTTTTTCTGAGTCAGGGTCTCACTCTGTCACCCAGACCGGCATACAGTGGCACAATCACGGCAGCTCACCACAGCCTCAGCCTCCTAGGCTTGGACGAACCTTCTGCCTCAGCCTCCTGAGAAGCTGCAACTGCAAGCATGTGCCACCACACCTGGCTAATATTTTTTAAAAATTTTTTTGTAGAGACAAGCTCTCAATGTTGCCTAGGCTGGTCTCAAACTCCTGGGCTCAAGTGATTCTCCTGCCTCGGCCTCCCAAAGTACTGGGATTACAGGCATAAGCCACCATGCCCAGCCATTTTTTTTGTTATATTCTTCTGCACTGTTTGAATTATTTTACAAAAAAACCTATTTTTTTGTACTTTAAGATGTGTAATTTTAAGTTACTTTTTAAAATACTGCACCACTGGCCAGGTACAGTGACTCATGCCTATAACCCCAACACGTTGGGAGGCCGAGGTGAGAGAATTACCTAAGCCCACGGGTTCAAGACCAGCCTGGGCAATTCAGTGAGACCTCATCTCCACAATAAATCAAAAAATTAGCTTGGCATGGTGGGCATTGCATTATTAACATTAACAACAATTCTGCAGTATCATTTAATAACCAGACAAGACTCAAAATTCCTCAATTGTCTAAAAATGTTCTTTTTAGCTGATCTATCAGGAGTAAAACAAGACTCAGTCATTGAATCTGGTTGTTATCTGTCTCCTTTTAGCTTAGAATAATCTCTCCTCTTTGTTAAGCTATAATTTTGAATTTGAGAAGAAACAGTTAAAAGTTTTAAAAATTAGATAAAAAATTTAAAAACAACAAAAACTGCTGTGAAACCTTAAAGCAGGATTATAATTTGAAGTACACATACACATAATTAGAACTAAAATGGTAACTTTAATTATCAATGCATTAGTAGGCCTATACTGTTATTAAGCATAACAAGTTAACATTTTGTGAAAAACCTCAAATTATATGAGTAACCTCTTGCCACTTTAGGGAGAGCTTACAGAAAATACAACTCAAGAAGGGCCCCAGGTATACTCAGTATTCAGGTTGAAAAGCAGCAAAATTATTTGATAATTTAAATTTTTAATCAAATTAATAACTTACACTATGATACTACAAATATTACCCCGCTTTTTTCCAAAAGGCAGAGCAGCATAATAATTAAATTAATTTGCTCTTAATGTGAATGTGAATGAAACTTACTTAATGCAAGAGTGTAAAAACCTGAAATATTCTGTTTTTAAGTTGTGCTACCGGTGATAAGGAAGCAGCGTCAACAAGCACCAGAGAACTCCCAAGCTGGAGAGTCTAAAGTCCCAGGACACACAAACTACAGGAAATTTAGATGACTCGAATGGTTACTTCAGTAGCTTTACTTACTGACAATCAATTCTTCATTCCCCACAAGAATGGGGTCAACAGAGGAAACTGTGTTCCATCTTTTCCTCTGAAGTCAAGAAACTTCCTGTTTCCAAAGAGTGCACGAAAACATTCATTTGTGAAGTAACATGTTTTCCTCGTTTATTTCCTTTTGGATCTGATAGACTATGCTTTCTAACCCAAACATTACCGCTTCCAACTCAGAATATATAAACCCCAAAGCAAGGCAAGGCCGTAATGGTCCACAGTGGTGTTGGACAAGTATCTGATAGGATGTCATCTTATACACAGATGGAAGGCATGTTCAATATGAAGCCAAAATAGGAAAGGTAAGTGCATTCCCAATGTCTTTCTCAGTCAGGTCTGAACAAAGTGATCTGATGTCTTCTCTAACCACAAGAGCAGTGCAGTATGCATTTATCCTTTGAGCCAGCAGCCCACAATTTATGAATCTATTCCAACACACATTTAATAAAAAAGACCACGAGCACAGCAAGTTCATGCAATATGTTTGTGACAGTAAAAGACTGGAAACAATGCAAATGGTCACTAACAGGGGACTGGCCAAACAAACTATGGGGCATCTGCACGACGTAGCTAAAGACAGAAATGAAGAGCATTTTTCTACATTGCTTGAAATGATAACAAGGATATGTTGTTAAGTTTAAAAGACAGCGTACAGAGAAGTGTGATAGTACATAGTCATTTACCTAAGGACAGAGAGCACAAATACATTTGACATACAAATGAGAGAGCATTTATTAAAAGGGTTACTTACAGGAGGAGAGGCAACAGGAGGCAGGAGCTGGTCGCTTTCAAATATACCTTATTTTGTAGATTTGATTTAGAAACATGCAAATGTTTCATGAAAGTATAAAACAACCAGCCCAGGTAACACAGCGAGATCCCGCTTTTACAAAAAAGTGAAAATTAGCTGAAAGTGATGCCTATATTCCCAGCTACTCAGGAGGCTGAGGTAGGGGGACTGCCTGAGCCTAGGAGGTTGAGGCTGCAGTGGCCATGACTGTGCGACTGCGCTCCAGCTGGGGCAACAGAGTGAAAGCCCAACTCAAAAAAAAAAGTCTAAGACAAAATAAAAATTCAATGTAAAGAAATTCCAAGCCTGAAAACAAATGAAACAAATTAACTTCCTTAGCTGCGTATTAAGTTAGTAGCATTATCATATGAAGAGGAATTATTTTGAATGACTTTAAGACAATAATTTGATGATACATGCCTACTAGGATACAACCCAAAGACAAAAAAACTACAATGCACCACATAAACAGAATTAAAAACAAGAACCACATGATCACCTCAACAGATGCAGAAAAAGCATCTGATAAAATCTAAGGTCCCTTCATGATGAAAATTCTCAACCATTTAGGCATCAAAGAAACATACCTCAAAATCATAACAGCCATCTATGGCAAATCCAGAGCCAGAACCATGCTGAATGGGCAGAAGTTGGATGCATGCCCCTAAGAACTAGAACAAGACAAGAATGTCCACTCTCAGCACTTCTATTTAACAAGGTCCTGGAAGTCCTAGTCAGAGCAACCAGGAAAGAGAAAGAAATAAAGGGTATCCAAATAGGAACAGAGGAAGTTGAATTATCCCTCTCTGCAGACGATAAGATTCTATATTTAGAAAACTCTAAAGATTACACCAGAACTCTCCTGCACCTGATAAGTGACTTAGCAAAGTCTCAGGATACAAAATCAATGTTCAAAAATCAGTAGCTTTCTGTACACCAACAACATTCAAGCTAAGAACCAAATCAAGAATACAATCCCAGCTGGGCTCAGTGGCTCAGCCTGTAATCCTGCGCCTTGAAAAGCTGAGGTGAGTGGATTGCCTGAGCCCATGGGTTCGAGACCCGCCTGGGCAACTTGGCAAGACCTCATCCCTACAATAAATTAAAAAATTAGCTGAGTGTGGTAGCGCGCGCCTGTAGTTCCAGCTACTTGGAAGGATTGCCAGAGCCCAGCAGGTTGAGGCGACAATCTGGGCGACAGAGTGAGACTCCAGCTCAAAAAAACAAAACAAACAAAAAAGAGAATACAATCCCACTTATGATAGCCAAACACATAAACAAAATCCCTGGAAACCAGAGATGAAAGATTACTATAAGAACTACAAAACACTGCTGAAAGAAATTGAAGATGACACAAACAAATGGAAAAACAGTTCATGATCATAAGTTGGAAGAATCAATATTGTAAAAATGCCCATACTGCCCAAAGCAAACTACAGATTCAAGACAACCTCTATCAAACTACCAGCATCCTTTTTCCACAAAATTAGAAAAAACAATTTTTGAATTCATACGGAAGCAAAAAAGAGCTCAAACAGCCAAGCAATTATAAGCAAAAAGAATAAAAAACATTTTGTATGAGTTTCATCAATCATGTGAGACATAAGTCACAGTTATTACTTATAGTTATATAGTTTTTTTAAGACCGCAGACACATGGAGTTTAAACACCATTATGTGTGTCAGTGAGCGTATGTGTGTGTGTATGTAAAGAAAGAAAAGAATTGGCCAAGCTCGGTGGCTCAGCCTGTAATCCCACGCTTTGGGAGGCTGAGGCGAGTGGATTGCCTGAGCCCGCGGGTTCGAGACCTGCCTGGGCAACTTGATGAGACCACATCTCTACAATAAATCAAAAAATTAGCCAGGCGCGGTAGCATGCACCTGTAGTTCCAGCTACTTGGAAGGTTGAGGCAGAAGGATCGCCGGAGGCCAGCAGGCCGAGGCTGCGGTGGCTGGGAGCGGCCACTGCACTCCAGTCCGGGCAACAGAGTGAGACTCCAACTCAAAAAAAAAAAAAAAAAAAAAAAAAGAATTATGTCAATGGTGTGTTAGGAATCAAGATCATTAGCATTAGAGAAAAAGATACAGATATAAAATCAAAGAAGCTGTGCCAAGACTTTGTAATCCTAAATTTGAATTGAAAATATCAGAAGGACTTCCAGCAAGATGGCGACGGGGCAGCCTGGTCTATGAGACCCTCGGCAAAGGAGAACGCAGAGGGTCTCTGGCTCTCTCCCCAAGGGACGCGGATCCCAACGTCGGCAGCCTGCTCTTCACACGGAGCTCGGCCGTTGCCACCACTGGGGCATCGCGGCGGTCTGGACAGACACTGCAGCCACCGGTGCCGCCGCGGCCTCCGAGGCTGCCATAGCGCATCGCACCACCCGTGCCTGAGGCGATCGATGACTTCAGTCCTTGAAGCCCCAGCAGGCAAGATCTGCTGGGATCGCTGCCACCTCTGCTGCCACCGTGCTACCCGCCGGCCACGGGTCTCCTCCCCTGTGCCCTGAGGCAGGCTCCCATCTCTGGCCTCTGCCCAGTTCCTGTCTGGCTCCACCCCCTCT